AAAAAAAAAAAAAAAAAAAAAAAAACCAAAAATAATAACAAAATAATAACAAAAAGGAGACTTGAGGATGTGTTCTGGGTAAGAAAAGCGAGAGTAGAGAGATCTGGTGGGGTTCACTCGATCAGATTTCTTGTAGACTGGTTCTCTCGTTTGGGAACGGGCTACAACAAAAATCATATTACAAGAGCTTGAGGATCCTATAAAATGAAGGGATCTTCTTCTCCTTTGGAACCACTCGTAAGTAGGTAATTTAAGTGCTCTACGGTGTACGGTTGATAGCCGTACCATTGGAGTAATATCCATAAAAAACACGAAGAACAGAAAGAAAAACGTGGTGGTGTGGTGTGTGGGGTCCTTTTGGGTGGGTGGAAAGGGATATGTACGATTGTACCCTCCTAATTCACACCATGGAGTGGAGAATGTCAGTGACGGGGTGGGTGTGTTTTTTTTTGCTGATAATGTCGGAGAAGAAGAGGCGAACCGGCATTCTGAGGGAAATAAAATAATAATAATAAGGATAAATAAAGAGGTAATTGTGTGTGTTACCTCTGTTTGTAAAGAGTGGCATGGTATTACAGTGATGTATGCAGTCATTTTTGTTGTGGTTGTGGGTGAGTGGGTTTTGGATTCCAATTGTGGTGTTGGTATAAATATTATGGTGATGCATTGGTTTCTTTTTTTTTTCTGTTTGCAGTTGTGTTGATTATTGTACAGTCTCTTTTTGTTCTGCTGATGATTTGTGGTATTGTTTTTGTATGTTGCCAGGCGTACACTGTGTATTTTGGTGTTCAAACTGCTTGGTAATGATTTTATTATAATGAGAATACAGACACTTTGTGTATGAATACCGAGTGAGATACTGGAGTATGTGTGTAGAGACGTTTATTCAATATTGTTTTGATACCATTTGTTTTCCATTTCTTCTAAATTCAAGGTGTTGTTTCAATATCTGTGTGACTCTGGGTGTGTTTTATTGTGTGAGTGGTTTACTGTTGTGTTCCCTTATTGGGTTGTGTTTGATTGCTGTTGTGATGTGCACTCTCTCTTTCTCTCTCTCTGTGTGTGTGTGTGGTGCCCTCTACCTTGTGTGTTAAATATGCGTCTCTTTTCTTCCTTTTCCTCTTCTTTCTTGTTACCACAGAACCAAACAACCCACAGTGACAATCATGACAACGATGTTCATCCAACTGCGCCGTGTGGTGTACCTGTTGGTACTCCTGCAGTCCTGTATTTGTGTGGTGTACGCACAAGTATTCAGGGAATCCAAGAATGAAATGAAACACCTGGGTGGTGAGGAGGCGGTGGTGGATCGGGCGAAAGCAGCGGAGACGTTTTTGGCAATTCCAAATTACACCGACGAAGAACTCGAAACCGACGGCGTTTTGGGGGTATCAGGGAATTCGGAGATGTTACGTGCAGTAAGGTATGCGTTAAGGGACGTCAGGGGTGCGGAGGCTCACTTTAATAACGGAATGGCTTGTAGGGCCGAGTGGGAAAAGGTGCTGGCATCAAATAAGAAGGCGGTTGAGGATGCCAGGGAGGCCACAAGGAGCATTGGGGCGCTGGTCGCAAAGATTGAGGAGAAAAGGAACAGGAGTGTAAAAGAAAAGATTGTTTTGAAGGATATCGGCACGCTGGAGTTTAAAAAGCTGGTTGAGGATATACGAAACGTACTGAAAGAAAATAAGGACAAAACACCTAATGGAGAGATGGTATTCAAGGTTGCTAGGGCGGATCAAGCGGAGCGTGTCTGTAAGACCATTCGAATAGAGATAGATCGTGTCATGGGTATCCTAAAGCAGAGAATGGAGGAAGTCACCTTCGATAAGGGGGAATACGAGAAGTCTGATAAGGCAAAGGAAGTGAGGAAGGCGGCGGAGAAAGTACGGGAAACATTGCAAAACGTCACACATCTAATTGGCAATACAACGGTTCGTGACAATTTTTTGATGGGAGAAGCCAAGGCACAACTAAGACTGTGGGAAAAGGCGTACACAGAACTTGCGATCCTGGGGAAGATGGAATTGACTCGAGAGGGGGTGGATACACCAACAGAGATCGAGAAAGAAATTGATGGGGTTCTTCTGGAATTAAAAAAAGATATCGAGGAACCGAAAAAGGTATTCAGCGACCTTGCGAGTAAGACGAATGAAACTACGGTGGCCTCGATGAACGAGATCGACAGGAATGTCAAAGAGGGAGTGGAGGTGGAAATCAAGGCGGAGACCACACGTATGAAGGAGGAGAAGGAAAGGGTTCTCGAAGAAAGGAGAAGAAAAGAGGAGGAAGCGAGAAGAATTGCAGAAAAGGCAAGGAGGGATGAGGAGGAGAGGAAAAGGATTGCGGAGGAAAGGAGAGCAAAAGAAGAGGCGAAAAGAGCTGCAGAAAGGTTGAGGGTGGCTGAGGAAGAGGAGAGAATGGCAGCGGAGAAGGTCAAGGAAGATGAGGCGAGAAAGGCAGCGGAGAAGGTCAAGGAAGATGAGGCGAAACTGGCATCAGAAGAGGCGAGAAAAAGGGCAGAAGCGGCTAAAAAGAAGGAAGATAGCAGCAGCAGTCCTTCATTGGTGCACGGTCCCTTACTACTGCTTCTGTTGTGTGTTCTGGGTTGCACTCTCGTTTGCTAATCGTTGTTCCCATGACACAGTTGCACAGATAACCTTTGTTTGAGTAGATATGGATGGATTGTGAGGTCGCTGTTCTTTTTGGTTGGATATCAGCCCTTCTTTTTCAGTTCGATAAGTCTCTTATTTGCATTTTTTTGCTGAACACATCTATTGGACTCCCTATGGCACTCAACACACGACAAACCATCATTTTGTGAGGGGAGTGTCCTCTTTGTTTGTTCGCATTATTATCTGGGTTCTGTTTTGTCGCCATTTACTGTGCCCTCCTGGTGATGTGTGTGTGTGTGTGTCGCGTGATATTACTAACTATTGCTTTTACCCATGGGAATGGGATGCAATTCCAATGTGTTGTAATTGCCGTGACTGAAATGTGAAGAATGGCAGGAGGTTCAAGACACAAACACGCACACTACCAACCATCCTTCTCTTTGTGTGTGTGTGTTTTCATCAGTAATAAATGGCATGTTATGTGCAGCTGTGTGTTTCTCTTTTGCGTTTCCAATACACCTTGTGTGTCTTGTGTGTTCATTTCCATGGATTAACTCTTTGCTTTTTCATTATTCACAACCCACTGGACAAAATAAATATCAAACGCATGGTCACCATACGTTTACCATATGATAACTTCCCGTAGAGTATAACAAGATGGACATTGCTGTGTCCAGGCATCGCAGAAATGGTTTGTAGTGAATTTTTTTTTTTTTTCATCTTTGCTCTGTCATTATCTGCTTCACGCAGTCACTCTCTTCTGCATTTTTATTTTGGTATAAAGATTGGTGGGTTGTAGGTGTTTGAGTGTATCCCTCTGTTGTGTGTTCCTATGTGTGCTTGGGTTGCTACTCGCACCGCCCACGTAATGAAAACACATTTCTTTGTTCTCACCTTCTCTCTCGGTGGTGTCACTCACAGCGTTGCCACGAAGAAATTTGTGCCCTTGTGTTGTTTGTTGTGTGGCTTGTTTGAGTGACTGCAACCTGCGGGGAGGTGAACGGAGACTGGTTCGCTTCGGCTTCACGTAATGGGTCTGGTTTTTTTGTTCTTTTCGGGTTTGTTGATGTGCCGGTGTGTGTGGATGTTTTTCTCTGGTGAGAGTGTCACCTGTGATTATTGTATTGTGAGTGCTTTGTGTGCTGTTGGTATCCACCTGGTGTTGTTCTTTTCTTGTGTTTTTCTGTTCCTCTCTGTAGGTGTGTGAATTAGTGTACATTTTAGGGAATGCCGCAGTGCCTCTCTGACATGAGCATGTGAGACTGTCATTGTGTGTGTGTGCACTGTGAGTGGGAACGATACTTTTGTTGCTGGACCACTCCACTGCGGCGTCTGTGGGGTTTGTATGAGTGGCATGCTTCGCTTCGGCGGGGCTCGAGGGGCACTTTACGTCCCGAGGCGCTGAACCTTGAGGCCTGAAATATCATGCTCAGGGACTTTGAACTTGAGAGAAAAAGAAGAGTGAGGATGAGGAAAAGAAAGGATGAAACCCGGCAACCAGTCTACGCGCGCAATGCTCGAGGCTCGTTGTCGGGTTTTGCCCTTTTCTTTTCTTTATCCCTCACCCCAAGAAGGGGGAGGAGGAGAACACGACCCCACAACCCAAGGCGGGCGGCCAACTTGTCAGCGTCTTGTGCGCAACAAGAAAAAGAGGGGTGGGGTGTGGCTCCCTGGGGTGTTTCACTTATGAAATGAGTGGGGTGCATTGAATGTCAACGTGACGAGATTCACCGACGCGCGGGTAAACGGCGGGAGTAACTATGACACTCTTAAGGTAGCCAAATGCCTCCTCTTCCAATTAGAGACGCGCATGAATGGATTAATGAGATTCCCTCTGTTCCGAGTTACTATCTAGCGAAACGACAGTCAAGGGGACGGACTTGAAGGGCTAAGTGGGGAAAGAAGACCCTGTTGAGTTTGACTCCAGTCTGGCTCTTTGCGGCGGCATCTGAGGTGTAGTATAGGTGGAAGCGCAAGCAAAAATGAAATACCACCACCCGGAACGTTGCTTCACTTATCGAATGAAGAGACCAATGGGTTTCTCGCGGTCTGTGGGCTATGCACCGTCTGGGTTTGGGATTTTATGGCGGCAACCCCGTCTCCACGGGAGGTGGCGCGTGTTCGCAAGGGCATGTGTC